TGCCATATATCCTCCAGCACCATGTTCCTGCAGGTTTTAGGAGGCCCCAGGGTCCTTCCAGCACTGCTCTTGGATGAATATTCTGCAGCTTCATAGCCCTGGCTACCAGGAAGCTTTTTTTTTGCTGTTGGTTGAGGGATTTGTCACTCCTTTGCTCCCTTGGGCACAAGTTGTCCTGGGGAGCTGGGGTCCTCACCCCTCCTTGGCTTTAAGGAGGTGTTTTGTCCCCTTGTGCCCCAAAGTGCCACGGGAGCAAGTGCCACCAACACTGAGCAGGTTGCTCAATAGCAAGTAAAAAGTGATTCAGCCCCCAGGTGACTTTACCAAGAGGGTATTTCCAACCTGAACCAGCCCAGGAGGCACCAGGCAGCACTGCAGGCAGGCACTGTGGCTGCTGGAGGACAAGGAGAAAGGAGCAACTCTGGTCATCAGAGCTCCCATGATTGGCAAAGCCCAGCAGAAGGACCCCCTTTGGAACCCACCAGCAGGAGCTGCAGCTTGGGAGCAGCTGAGCTGAGCAAAAGCCAGAGCCAGGACCCCAGCACCAACTCCCCCCAGCCTCACTGTGTGCAGGAAGCAGCTCCCAGCCCTTCCAGCAGCTCCCAGCCCTTCCAGCAGCTCCCAGCCCAATCCCAGCCCCTTCCACAGCTCCAGGGTGACATGCATCCGTGGTTAAAAGGAAACCCGACCCTAATTGCTGACCCAGGACCCACCTGGATGGTTCTGTTTCCACTGCTGAGGTCTCATTTCTGCGTGGGAGGTGCAGGAACCCACTTGTACCATGCAAGCTGGGACACATCCCTGGGCTGGACTTGGGGACACATCCCCACAGTGGAAGTGCCAGCCCAACCTTGGGCTATCTCAGTATCTCCAGAGGGAGCCATCACAGCACGAGACAAGCTAGAACAGCTCCTAAATCACCCCTCCTTTATGCCACCAGGCTCCCTCCAAACACCAGGAAACCCAGAAAGTCACATTAAATCATTTTTATCCCTTGTTCTTCCTCATCAGCCTGAGCTGCACTGACCTCAGCTCAGCCTCCAGGAGCCAAACCAGACCCACAGATTCCCCCAAACCATTTCAGCACCCAGAACCAGTGTGGGAATGTGGGGAGGGATGCAATCCAGGCTGGGCTGGGGGGATGGACCCCAACCCATGTGGCACAGCCAGCTCTGAGCAGGCTGTGCAGGAGAGGAGGTGCTTGGGATGATGGAAAAGCAGGTGATGGCACAGGCAGTTGGGAGTTTTATGAAGATCTTTGATGGAAATCACAGCAGTTAAGAGATGTGCAGCCTATTAAAGGTACCCAGCACACCTCTGGGGCCAGGGCAGCATTAGTGCTGCCATATATCCTCCAGCACCATGTTCCTGCAGGTTTTAGGAGGCCCCAGGGTCCTTCCAGCACTGCTCTTGGATGAATATTCTGCAGCTTCATAGCCCTGGCTACCAGGAAGCTTTTTTTTTGCTGTTGGTTGAGGGATTTGTCACTCCTTTGCTCCCTTGGGCACAAGTTGTCCTGGGGAGCTGGGGTCCTCACCCCTCCTTGGCTTTAAGGAGGTGTTTTGTCCCCTTGTGCCCCAAAGTGCCACGGGAGCAAGTGCCACCAACACTGAGCAGGTTGCTCAATAGCAAGTAAAAAGTGATTCAGCCCCCAGGTGACTTTACCAAGAGGGTATTTCCAACCTGAACCAGCCCAGGAGGCACCAGGCAGCACTGCAGGCAGGCACTGTGGCTGCAGGCAGCAGCCACCACCCAGATTGGTTGCCCACCTCCCCAAAAGCTGCAAGAAGAGCCTCCCTGCCCTGATCCCAGCCCTGCAGGCACAGTCAAAAGCTGGAGCAGTTTGCTGTGCAGATGGGAGAGCTGGCAGGGTGTTCAGGGGGATCATCCTGCCACTCACAACCTGCTCTTTCCCAGGTAGTTTGTTCATCTTCAGCATCACTGCAAGGTCTGGCTTCCCCAAACAGGGCAGGGAAAGGGGGGATATGGGAATGATACAGAGAGGAAGGCAGAGTGATGTGAAGGAGAGGAATTGTCACTTAGGAGTTGAGAAACACAGGGTTTAACTCTAGTCCTGTCCCTGGCAAGTTTCTTCTTGGTACTCCAGCTTCTCCTGAAGATGGGAAAAGGGGCAAGTGCTGCCTTCAGTGGGACAAAACCCACCAGGAGCAGCAAAGCAATGGCCTCTGTTTCCTTTTGAAGCTGAACACAGCCTGCCAGCCCTTTACTTCTGGAACAACCCAGAAATCAAGCCACCTGGTCATGGGGAAGAGGAGCTGCCTTTGCTCCTTTGATGGATTCCCAAGCTGGAAAGGAGCAGTGCCCAGGCCTGGCTGCAGTTTGCCACCTCCTGCTCCTGCCCATGCAGAGGGAAAGGGAGAATGTTGCTGCCCAGGCTTATACACACACGTCCAGAAAACCAAAATCACCAATCAATTAAACTCCCTCCCTGGCCCATGTCTCTTGCAAAGGAGCTGCCAGCCCCTCTGGGGAGGAGGGAGATGCTCTGCAGTTTTATGGGCAGGTAAAAGGGGTCACACACAGACCCCAAAATCAGAAGAGCCTGGAAAGGTCACAGTTCTCTCTCTGCTTAGTTATTTTAGGAGTGGGGAGGGAAAGGCTGCAGAGGCACCCGGTGGGGCAGGGAGCAGCCTTGCAGCACCAGAGGAACAAAAACTACAGCCCCCCCAAGAAACCCAGGCCCAGAGAGTGTCCCCCTCACCTTGCCCATCACCTCCCTAAGGGCACAGGACCCACAACCGGGTCCTGCAGCCTCCCGGGGGAGGGAAGGAAAGGGAAGGGAAGGGAAGAGGAAGGGAGAGCTGTGTTGTGAGAGAGGCGATTTCT